AATACTTTTGCAAGCCGCTGTATATCTGGTTGGTTAGCCATCACTATTTCGTCCGTCTGTATCTGGATCCCACAGGATCTTAGCTCAGTCATTCTCCACCACTCGTGGGGGCGTCTCCCATTTTGACCTCGGGGCTTCCAGGACACACTTGGCACAGGTGTTCCTGTACACTATGCCGGCCACTTGGTTACGGCGTTCCATGTATGCTGCTAGCATCTTACACCCTGCTGTTATGCACTGCAAAAACTCAAAATCTTAGCATGTATATTTGTCTTGTTTCTAGTCAAAATAATCTTATCACATCCCAGTAAGATATATGAACTTGTGGATCTTGAAACTAGAAACTTTTCACTTCCATTGATCAATGATCAGGGGTGCTAGTATCAGTTATTGAGCAGACATTTCAGGCTCGGGTTGCCCATCTAACATTTTTACTGCCAGGTCATATGTGATCATTAAAGTTTTCAGCTGAATAGATGACTGACTTCTGATTGCTTCCATCTCTTCCATCTTCCTTTTGTCTTTATTTCCAGTCAGTTCAACTTTAAACCCATTCTTGAAATTTTATTGCAGTTTCTGTAGCTCAGGCTTTGACAGCCTATCGCTCTTGTAAGCGGGCACACATTAGTTTTAATTAAAACCCATTTTAACTAAAAGTCATTTGTTGAGACAGAACAGGAAGTCTTTGTACTTTCAGTCCACTGAACTTTGCAGCACAGGCATTACCCACAGGAAGAGGGTGTACGCTGAAATGATCACACACAGATTAAACATTTACTGCAGTGTATCTCAAGGGGAGGAGCGCGGGAGGAGTCTCTCCATGGAATCAAAATAAATATTTGGACAGAGAGTACTCCCACTGTGGCCAAACTGTGGCACATGATGGGAAAGAAACACACCATGAAATCAAGCAGAGGTAAAACATTCAAACTTCGAGCGTTGTCTTTGTTTTTTAATCAGTCGAATCTATGCTGTCCTTTTGTTCTGGACAGTTTAACCTTATGTGCGCTTTATTTTTCTGTTTCCTTATATCAAAACGTGTATCACATTTTTTTGTTTTCTACTGTAAAGCATTTGGGATTTATTTTAACAGAAAGTTGCAGTTGAACAGTGTTGAATTGATTAAATAGTTAAAGTTAATGAATTATAGATTTAAAATGTTTCAAAACTGGATATTTCTAGTAAAAAAGTAGGAAAGATTAATCCCAGTTTATCATTCATACTTCGAATAGCTCGTTCTAGTTTTCCCCGGACTGAGCTGAGCTCCAGGACTTTGTCTTTGAGTGTCTGCAGGATCAACGTGTCCTAGATCATTAAAAAAAAGGTTTCAGTGACCCATTAGCTGCACTCAAGTACCTGTAGCATACGCTGGTGTG